ACTAAAAGTAATATTGTGGGAACTTTACTGGAACACATGGACATAGTGACCAACTCCAACTCTGGTAAACCACGTAAGAACCTCGAGCTTCGCGGGGTAGTTCCGAAACCACTTCCTGCCAATGATTAGATGTGAATGGGGATGGTTCTCGTCTCTCCAAATTCCAAAAGGCAAGTAAACGTCTCACGAAGTAGCACCTTCAAATAATAACCCGAGCCACAAGGATATTTTTACCCAAAAGATACTCTTCATCGATTTAGTTAAAAAATAAATTATTTAATTGCTACGCAAATATAGTTAGGTACTTAAAATTGAAATTTATTTTCTAACAGTCATCAATTATTTGGGCAACTGGATCAGTAGGGTCGATCCACCAGACTGGAGGATTCAATGGACTACCCTTAATTACACTATTTCTCATTAGCTCGATAATAGTGTCTGTGTTATTACCACGGATATTCATTGAATTTCTGCCTATATTTACTGCCTAAAATAAAGAATTTTAACTGTTTTACTGTAAAACTTTTACACATAATAATAATTCAATTTATTTAATAGCTAATTTTTAAACTTGTTAAACATAGTCACCTGCTGATCGAAATCCCAAGGTGTGTACGAAAACTATGCAACTGACTTGAATACATTTGCTTGCATCCATCTAATATACATCTCTTTGGAAGGTGGTGAGTCATAGTAACCGTTTCCACCGATCATATCGGGTAATACAAATGGATATCCGACCATATTCAAATGTGTCAGAGATGTTATTTATGTGGGTAGTCCACGTTGAATATCCCACCGAGAATTACCATCTATCATTCTTAAGAAACGTGCAAATTCTTGACGTCTTCTAGATGTTCTGTACTCAATACCATTACCAAAAGATGCAATAGTTTTAAGATATGCGTTTACAATATTCTCAGGGTAGTAAGTCAGATCATTATCGTGAAATTCTGGAAGTTGCAGGCTCCTTTGCAAAAATAAAAATAACATACTTTTTATAATGTTTTATACTTTTATGTAAATAACAAATTAATTGTAAGTATATAAATAAATAAGTATAATAATAAATCCGTAGAATTGTCATAAACACTGTTATTGAAAATGAAATACTGACACAGTTTTCTACAATATAATATTATGTATACAATTAACGATATACAATCGTGATCCTATAACCATTTGGGTAAAAAATTGAGTTTTAGGAAAATATTTGAAAATCTTCTAGTGGGTTATCCGACTATTTAAAACTTTCAACTCTTAACAGATATCTTAAGACCTAATAATCTATTATCATTTGTTATAAATTCTAGTTTTATAATCAACGATATTAAGTAATAAGTAGGTACCTATATAATACATAATCGAAGTTTACCTACAAAACATTTACAAGTTACAAGTGTTATTGATAATATTATAAATATATAATAAGTAATAACAAATGAAATAACTACGACTATGCACTTCAATTGTTGTACTTCAACACTGTTTTTTTATTTTGATATTTTTTTTCAGTTCATATATTCTTTTAGTTTTTCTCAATTTTTAATTAATGTCACACATGTTATTACTATCGATAAAAATATAATTTTAGAATAAAAAAAAAGCATTTTCTTCATTAATAATTTATTTAACAGATAGGAAGGTAAGTGAAATAAAACACGAGTTACTTGTCGTTACATGATACTGTTTCAATAAATATACATTATAAATTTTAATGTATAGTATATTATTCTTTATTATAAAACGAAGGTACATAATATAATATAATATAACATATGTTTGTATTGTAATTTAGAACAAATTGAGTCGACAAAAAAAAAATAATTATATGGCTGCTTGAATAGTGTAGTGATACCAATGTAATATCAGACTGTTTTGAAAAAAGAAACCAGACAATTAGTTATTCATTAAAATATCATTCTTAGGTGTTTCAGTTCTTGTCTGAGCGCGAAGGTCGTAAATCAGACTCTTCTGACAGCCTGACACCACCATCGTCCATCGATCAACACATGTATAATATATAATTATGTATAGAAAAAAAAATGTATAAAATGTGATCCTCTCAAATCACGATCGACCACATTACTCGTAGACACAGCTATAATAATAATTATAATATATTATAATAGGTACAACGCACAGTATTTCGGACTCGGACAATGCGGTGTGACATTCGAATCGAATATAACATAATTACGTTGAAAATATAATATTATATTGTGTTCATATACTATATTATATTGCATTGTATTGTATTAAAATATAATTACCTAGATAATTAAACTGTAAAAACGTGTTTTATAAAGGATCGGGGCACTTTTCCTGAATTTTTTCTTTTTACCTATAAATTAAATATTATAACTAAGAAGGATCTGTTTCATCGATTATTATTGTTTATTACTTTTTACAAAAATATTTTGTGATAAAATCAAAAAAAAAATATATAATACACCTAATTAAATAAATAAGTAATGACATACCAATAGATAATAGCTACTAAATAATGTTGTTAATTTAATTAATTAGTAATAGTTCGTTAAAATGAAAAGCCAAAAGGACCATCATATATAAACTCTGCACCAGCTAAAACAAATAGAAAGGTACATAAAATGTTGTTAAAAAAAATTATTTACGTTTGTTTGGTAAACGGCGAAACTGGCCACACGAGGCCACGAGGGTACATTTTCAAAATCATTAATTTAATATTTCTTGAATTCTTGATTATTAGCTTTCTTAAACATGTTTTCTTTTTTTTTAATCCAAAGCACTTAATTATAAATAGGTACTTAACGAAACATATTACAATATACCAACCTTATAAACGTATTTGTTTGTATACACTGTACATAACCTAATGCATGAGATTTGTACTTTGGCAATAGAAGAATGGATTGTAAAATATTGTGGAATATCTACGGCACATCACGATTGTCAATGTTCCCTACACCTTTTTGTTTGCGGTTAGTGGTTACTCTGTTGTTCCTTGTGTTCCTACTATATTTTGGTTTACCCATGGTAATCTATTGTTTCCTTCCCCCGAAAATTGTTGGGGAAAATGTTTTGTGCTTGACAACGGTTTGTTGTATGGCTACGCCTAAGTGCCTTTAACTAGGTACCTATATATAGGTTCAATTCATAACATTGGATACAAAACAGGTGTAAGATGTGTTCGGTCGGAACAGCAAACATAAACTCTGCGACACAGTTAAGTGGTTAGCCTTCCTTCGACATCCACGATCCACCTAATACGGTAAAAAAAAACTTTCCGTCTGTTCAACCGACGTCGACTTTACGGCATTAATCTTCCGGTAGTTAGGCGAGAGATATTATATACATTTATTACGTGGTATAATATGTTTACCACACGTTCTCGAGATCCGCTGTAAATAAAATAAATAGACACAGTAGTATGTATTGGTAAGGTTTATGTGTGTGATGGTAAGGGTGTGAAGTGAGCCATTTTAGTCGCTGACGAGGGCTGAAACTCGCGTTCAAGACTAAAATTGCTTTCCCGCATGAGCCACTCGTATTATTTTTTGTCACGCTTCTGCCACCTCCGAAGACGCCTCTATCGACGTCACACCACGGAAATCCACGAGTTTTCGTATACCTATCCACTATATTAAGATTCGCCTGCAAACTGTCTCGTATAGAACAGCACTACAGGAGTATAGCTCAGTATAGTATAATTTATTATAGTAACAAACTAACACTAGCAAGTATTTGATATTATATTATGTCGGACAAACCATATCGATACTCGTTCGTAGCTGGGGATTTCCACTTTTCGCGTGGAAATTAAACATTGACCGTAAAATGCAAAATCTAACTCTCAACACATAGAAATCAGTTGTTAATTTAACTTTTACATAAATTGTTGAACAACTAAATTTTAAGTTATGTGTTCCCATATTATTCACAATGTTAGATAGTGGCTCGGTAAGTTTAAGGCGTTAGGTTAGGAATCCCACTATGGATGATGACCCGTATGCAGATCAAAACCGAAGTCCGCAGGAATAAATTTTGCATTTTTTGAAATATTTATAATGTGATGCAAACAACAACAACTTTTTTAATAGTGCCAAGCCAACATCAAATAAGTGTTGGGTATACTAAATTATGTTTGAATGTTTGCTAGTAGTATTTCAACTCCAAGCTTACTCCAGCTGGAAATCTGCACTCAAATGTGTTCGATAATGACACGTTTTATTGTTAATTCAACACCAGATTTCTATGTGTCAGATTCCGCGATCGGGGCAGGAATATGAAAATGTGCAAACCGTAGGTATACCTTGTGAATACAAAATAAAAGATCATTGCTCCAGCACAGGCGAAGCTCACTGGGGGCTGGGGTAAGGGGTCTTGGCCCTCTTAAAAAATACACAGTTTTTCAGTCGTTTGGCTCCGAAGCCTCCCCCCTCACGTTGATGGTAAAAATGCCCCCACTGACATTCTAATGGATTTCTGCCCATGTGCTCCTGCAGCTATAGTGTACCCTGCAGCTTGTACCGCTCTCGCGCATTATAAGCAACGGGGTCGCCCTCGCACTGCAGCGGACGACCAAGGCGACGACGTATGCATAACGCGTATTACCCACACACACACACACATATTGGCGAACGCGAATTTATCGAGCCGTACACATTAATATTAATTAATAATAATCGTCGAACGCCCTACATATTATTATTATGTGCGGAGTGGCGGCGGCGGACGTTCGCGTCGGACCGGTTTTCACCGTGACCTTATAACAAACGACGCGCGCGGGTAGAGGCCGCCGCCACCGCCGCCGAAGATATCAGGTGCCGCCGCCGCCGCTCGATGATAATACTCGCTGGCGTGACGACGGTCCAGTCGTATCGCAGATTCCGTTACGGCGCCGACCACGACGTGTTGTTCGTATTGTGACGTGCGTGTGCTCGTGTGCTCGTCGTGCGTGTTCTCGCGTGTGCGTGGTCCGTGCGCGTTTAAGGAAAAAAGACGCATCCCCCGTCGTCATGATCGCGGCTGCGGCCGCCGCGGCGGCTGCGCACTGTTGCGACGGCGAAGAACTGCGCGTTCCCGGTTCGCCGCAACCGTACGCGCGCCGAGTTCGCGGATCTTGGCGCGACTATTTGGAACCGCCGGACGACGGCGTCGATGTAGTTAGCGACCCGTACGTCTGCGACGACTCGTACGACTCGTACGACGACGACGACGACGATGACGTAGACGAAGAGGAAGAAGACTCTTACGACGATTCGTACGATGACGACGAAGAAGAGGACGGAGACGAAGACTGTTCATGTTGTTCGCTTTGTTCCTCGGGTGGCGGTCGTCGCCGCGGACGGGACACGCCGCCTACGTCGTTCCGATCCTCCTCGTCGTCGTCCTCGTTGTCGTCCACCGGTTCGACCGCGGCTGCTAAAGCTGCAGCCAATATTTCTTCTTCGGCGCCGCCGCCGCCACCGCCACCGACGCATAGGCACCTGTCGCCAGTTTTCGAACCGTCCATGCGTGGCTCTTGCAGGTGCATACGGTGCCAAAAGCGACGTTACTCGTTGGACTTTTTCAAGAGCTCCGACTTCAGGCGAGGCATACCGTCTCCCAACGTGTACATGATCGACGAGCGGTCGTGCAAAATCGTCCACGATTACATTCACGGTAACCATACCATTCTGTTATGAGATAATATTATTTAGTTAGGTTACCAGTTACCTGATTTTTTCCTTATTACGAATCCCTTCCGTTGGTGAATATTAAAAATGATATTTTCATGATAATTTTCAATCAAATTTGATTTTAATCGACGAGATAAACAAAGATAATTTATATTATTATTATTGGGTAAACCTTAGTGAGTAGGTACTTAAACATATTTTGTTGAATATTATATAGCTGCAGTATGATAATTATTGCGTGACATGGACCATTTGTAACGGTTACCGTCCGAAGTCCGAACCAGTACCTTAAATCCAACATGTAGCATAGAATATGTCAGTTGAGTGTTATAGCGAGGTTATAACTATAAATAAAACGTGTATGTAGACGTAGTCAATATTACATCCATATGGCAATACATTTTTATTCAAACGTCAACAGTATTCATTTTAGATTTTTTAACATGGAAATTGTCGCACTGCAGCCACAACTTTAGAAACTCTCGAGAGACGACGCAAAAAACAGTTTTATTTGTATGTATTTAATATTTGTTTGTGATTGAACGGCGTGAAATGGACGCGAAGAAAACGGTTGGTGGCCACCACCGCTTTTGTCCTTTGAAAATGACCAGAGGAAAATATTGCAAGACCGCTCACGAGTGACGTAAACCATAAGAATTGTGTGGTGGCCTTAACCGTGGTATAAATTCAGCGATCATAGTGGCATTTTCCGTCGTCGTTCAATGTTTAGGAAAACATCGTCGGAAAATGTCTATACGTACCCGTCGTGCCGATCAAACAATTTTCCCGTGCACGATGGTGAGATTGTGATGAAGTTATGTGAAGAAATTCCTGCATAACGATTCTTATAAAACAAATATATTTGCGAACCACATAATCACCTTCTGTCCGATGAAAAGCGTCTCTAGCTCCCCGAGAATTACGATTTACGAGACGAAGTTAAGTTAAAAGACGTATACTTCGTGTCTTACATCATGACGAGTATATAATATCTTTCACAGTTCTCTTTTAAGGATAGATGACTAAAGTTTTATCATAATAAGTGTAAAATTATATGTATTATATACCTATAGATTAATTTTAAAAATCGAAGTTTAACCCTGTTAGTCTCACTTTATTTTAAAACTTAATGCTGCGTCAATCGATTTAAAAGGGTAGGTAGGTATAGTTATGTACTATGTCGAATAAAATAGAATTTAAAAAATGTATAATTAAACATAAAAAGAGCGGAACGCACTTAAATAGAATATTGTGTGGCAAGTAGCGGGCGCCCAAGACTGAAATTGTCTTCCCGCACTAGCCACACGTACTATTTTTTGTTACGCCTCTGCGTTCATCAATTCATCAATTGTAGGGATCTATGCAAAATCCAGATTACAGATTACGAAAACGATTTCACGAAAGAAAAATGTTTAAGCGTCATGCAAGGAGGTTATAATACGAATATAAGATCAAACCAAAAGTTTATGTTATGTAATGAACAATGGTATAGATTTTTAGTGTCTGGTTGTGCAGGGGATACGAGGGGTAAACGCACCCAGCAATTTTGTGAATTTCCACTTTACCGCCCGGCACCATGGGTATTCCCACTTTACTGTCCGCTGTCGCTTTCCAACGCTTCAACCGTCGTCGAAAACTAAATTTTCGGTGCAAGCGTGACAAAAAAATCATTTTACGTACGTAAAAAATTCACACACGCCGTGACATCGATCGTTAAAGTAAAAATCACAACAATTACTAATGGTACTGAGTAATGACCATCGACCAATATACTATAGGACACACTCATAGGACGTAATATTAATGCACTAGGTATAGCGGTTTGGCATTATATGACAATTGTATCAGTTAAATCAGTGAAAGTATTATAATGTATTGTTATCAATCGCGCTTACACCACCTGTAACTCAAACAAAAAAATAAATCGCTCCAAAACGCACAAACATATTGGTTGAAGTTCTTGGTAATTTTGTCTTGGTCTACTTATAACTTGTGGACTCCATAATATGGTTTCAAACATCTCGTGTCATTTTTAAATTCGATAGAGACGTTGTAGTATATAATATTATCGTATAGTATTAACTATTATTATTTATTATTGGTATATATATATAGGATGCGTTTAGATAACGTGAATCGTTTTTATAATTATTTTCAATGTATATAATGATATTATGTATATTATATCAGGTAAATATACATTGGTACCTAATCAGTAATCACGCGTGTACCACATACCCACTATTATATATTTTCACAAGGTATATTAACGTCATTTGGTTCTTCTTAGTTTTAATATACCCAACGACGATATACGCATAGTGCATACAAAATACTAGACACGAGTTTGCCTTAAATTACTACTAGTTTGTGTTTGGTGGACATTGTGAGGTTGTTTTTTTACTCTTTAATTTCCACAGTATTCGTTTAGGTACCTACCATAGTTTTACCGTAGATACTTATACAATACGGTCCGTTTTTAACGAGTTTCATTATTATTACTTTTATGGCTCGTTATACACGGTATTTTAGGTATTATGTTATTTACTTTTCAAGCGATTGAATTCTAAGCGTAAAACATAAAAACAATAAAATATTACATAAAAAAAAAATGTTAATTGGTTTCTACTTTATTAAACAGGAGCGTTATTTGTAATAATGTTATATGCTCCAAAACGTAGAAAAACATTCCAACTAAGATAATTTCGTGTTTATTTTGTTTAAAATTTAATACAGATGGTTTTATTACTTCTAAAAAATAAAACGGTATAGGTTGCCACAGCAGGAATGTAAAAATTAATAACTCATTACCTACAAACTTTCGTTGTAACTTTCAACTATAACTGTTACGGTATAGCATTTCATAACAGTAATCAAATTAAAAATTTTCCTACATTGAGTTCAAATAAAATTTACCTTTGGTTTATTTTTATTTTATAGTTTTTCAGCCAAACTGCTTTGAAGGTCTGTTGTATTTAATAGTGTATTCCATACGTAAACATATTAGTCTCAAGGGTTTGAGTGAGTGTTGTAAATCCTATAATGTTTTATTATGCTAATAAGTTTAATTTTAAACTAGTTTTATCTTGTAGTAATACATGCCGTGACCGTAATTATTAAGAGAAAAAAACGGAAAGCAATTAGGGCCCCGAGGGTAATTTGAGGGTTAATTTAACTCGGTTTCCTTGCTTCTGTTTTTAACCTGAAATAAGAAGTCTTTGTCCACAAGTTAAAAAATAAAAATTGAAAACGAATTAGCGTGTGTGTGTGTGTGTTTTGAGAAAAAATAATGTTTCGCCAATAAGTAAAAATTGATAAAAAAAAATAATAATAACAATAAAAATAAAAATAATGAAAAAGTATATAATATTATAACTGTATTAATATTATGTTCAATTTTTTACCATGTATCGGAAGAGTGAACCATCAGAGGCTTGGAATTGTAGGTCGCGGAGTTTGGATTTTAAAATGATATGTTTGTATTGGTATGCTCTAAATGTGTGTCTAATAATATTATGTTTCAAAATATTATTGCTCTCGGGTTACGTATGTTACATTGGTCATTGGCACGTCGCCTCCTCCGCGTGACTACAGACTAAAATATAAACACACTGCAGCATAACTATATTGCATATTTTTTAATCTCTAAGCTCGTGAAACGATTTAACTCTTTTAAAGCGCTTTAAACGCTCGCTCGCATATTATCATTACAACGACGGCAATCGGTTAATGTCGTATTTACGTACACAACGGGCCGGGTCGTTTGGCGAGGAGACCATCATACACATATATATATAATATAATACACATATATAATAATATGCACTGCCGCTGTAATTATAAATAGAGATTTAACCCGAGTCGTGAATCGGTTATTAGCATAATAATAACAATAAATAATACGAAGGAGGAAAGAAAAATATGTATTATACTAACGGGTCGGGTAAAACGGATGGCTTGTAATAATAATGATAATAATAATGAGATGAGACGAGACGAGAGAAAGAGAAACGACGACGACGACGAGTGCAGTAGCCACCGGTGAGCACGCACAATGGATACGTGTGTGTCTGTGTGTAAATTATGCAAGAATCAGGGAGAACATGCGAATTTATTACTATGACTTCCGTCAACCGGTTCTGCGCGAAGGGCCGGACCGGATGATCTGATTTAAACTGCGTCTCTGTGTTTGCTCGCAGCGCAAAATATCGTAGCCTGCGTGATATTTGATAATAAAATTATATTATCGTCGTCGTCGTCGTCGTCGTCGCCACCGTTACCGTGTGAAACGGAACCTTTTCGTGTCTTTTTCTACGATATTCGAAACGCGACAGACTCCGGTGCGGTACACTATCGGAAAAATCGATCACCCGGAAACGACAACCTGCACGCGTCGACTTCAACAGGTTGTGCGATATTATATGGGTACCGACGCTGACGGTATTATAATAATTGTGTGTTGTATTATTCAACTATTATTGTTGTTGTTGTTATTATTATTATTATATTTAGCCGTATAGTAACAGTAAATATTATTGTGACGCAGACGTCGAAAACTCGAACCCGTCGTGTCTCAAATCTCAATAGCGGTTCTATTGTTTTGAGCCATTAGCAATTGTTTTTTACAATATACTTTCATTGTTGACTTTGAATTTTACACATTTTACGTACTAGGAATGATGATGGATTTCCTAATAAGTAGGTACATACTATCAATTGCATACAAATTATGCCTCAGTACTGGCTATTATACGATTTTGGTTTCCCATATGAATATAAAATTGTGTACACATACTATAATTGTATGCACAAACATTTTTATTTTTGAACCATGTTTCTACACCTATTATAATGAAGGTACGTCAATATACATGCGCTTGAGCGTTCAGCAATATTTGATTCGTGAGGCATATAATACGACTATAAGTTCGTTTCTCGTGATATCTACCTATACGTTATACTTACAAAGTGGATTCACCAACCGTACTCACCTCCATTGTTTCCTT